ACTTTTTTATGGTTACATATATATCTGACTGTAGAACTTTGTTACTCCTGTACAGTCTTTGATTCTCTCATTGAGAAGTATGTGCAGTGCATACAACTTTAGACAGTTTCTTCATTTAAAGCTGTTACAAAATTAAAACTGTGTATGGTAAGAGTATCTTCAAGGTGGGTGGATGTTCTGTGTTTGAAGGAATAAGATTATTGGTATTCCAACAGCATTTTTTCTTTTAATGTTTTCATCAAGCACCCAGTCAGCTTGAAGAGTCTCAAATGGACCCTCCCACTGAGAAATCAAGATGGCAGTCCACTTTGGGGAATAGAGGAAAATGGATTAATACAAGAGTGCTGTGATAATATACAACCAAGACAGGGTTCTTTTAACATGGATTTCATGAAATGAATGAAGACAATAGGTTTCTTACCCAACACAAATGGACAGTGGATATGACTTTCTAAAGACTTTTTGTATCATTAAAACAAGTCCATTTTTGACATTTGGAGAAGAAAGATGGCACATTAACAGAGATGATAGTTTGTATGCTTGGAATTCTTTTTTCAGTCTGATTTTGTATGAGTATGACCTTGTGGAATGTTAACTTTAATAAAATTTCTGACACTTTAAAATTTCTCAGTTTGGGTTTATTTTTTTGAGCTGGAGTTTCATTAAATGTTCAGTTATCACCCTAAATAACACCTTGACCTTTACTTTTGCCCAGCAGTAAAGTGTACTGAATAAAGCTGGTAAATGGAAATAGTGTGTTGGAAAATATTGTACTTGGTTGACTAAGATTTCTCTTTTTAAAGTTGTTGAAATTTATTTCTGCTTTAAGAGATCATCATTTGGTCGAAATGCCGTTTTGTGCTTTCTTAAAACATCTTGCAAAATAACTTAACCAATGGGTAATAATAGAATCTTTAATTTGCCATGCGATTTTAGTGAACTTTTAAAACAAAATGCTTTTTCCCTCAAAATTCAGGATAAGTGATATTTTTCTAATAAAAGGTCACATTTACCTAGATGCTTGTTAATATTGTAAATAAAATGTTTTGCAATAGAATATTCATCTGAACATTTAAACCGATGCCTCTTACCGTCTTTTATTAGTTAATATTAAGGGAAGAAGTATTAGATTTATTAGAGAAGTGTCCTTAGGGTATTCATAAAAGGACTTAAAATTTGGGTGGCAGTAATGTCTATAATATACATTATGTAAATATGAAACCTGTCCCATGCATTTTTACTTGGTACCATACATATTTTTTATTTTTCTTATGTGCATTTAGGAATTTAGAACAAATGAATCATACATGTCACAGATTACTTATATTTGATTTTCTGGTGAATGCTGACATTTTAATTTTTGATAATCATCGAATACCAATTCGGTAACTGTTATAAAGGTGTGTGGTATACTTTAATTTGCTAAACCAAATGAATTGATAATATTTCCGCATTATACAGAGAACAAGAAATATCTTGATTTGTTTCGCGTGTGTTTGTGATTAATGTCAAATACTGTAGCACACACATTCATGATCAAAACCTGGGCAGTATGTGTTCTCATTGATTTGAGGTGGTCTGTGTAAATCAAAAGTGGAATTTTGAGTTTTGATCTTGGTGTACAGAACTACCTTTTGTAGAAAGTATGGAATTGAAACTAGGGTTCCATTATGGATTTTACATTACCTAAATTCAGTTTGTTGCTTTTGTTGGGTATAAATCTAAACTGGATATCCTGAGGAAAGGACATTGTTCTGACAGATTATCATGTTGAGTAAGGAAAGTTTGATTTTTTTTTTTTTGGATGTGAATATTTTCTTGGGTGCGTGCTGAGAGAAAAAGCGTTGAATAATTTGTTTTTGGCATTAGTAATGATTTTGTTTCCATGGTCCTATGGTTTTGATATTTAGGAGAATTTGCCCTGAGATATTACTTTGATAACCTGCTGTCAGATAAGACCAATTGTTATTAACTTAACCATTGTTGAAATGGGTTCGTGCCTAGAATTGGATTTGAAATACAATGGAAAGTTTGGGATTTATGTTGTGTTGGTTTTGGAGGTGGAGTTTCTTGGGTTTGTTATTTAAAGGTGACTGGTAGTTACATATTCTTGAATTTAGGAACTTTGTTTTGCCTAATCAGTGTGGGAAGTAAATATATTCTGGCTATGAGAGTTCTTTTGGTGTGGGGGGGTAAAGTTTGCAAAGTTATGTAATGGGTTAAAGAATTTTGGGAAAGTACAAAGAAAAATCGAGGTTATCGAATAAAAATTAGTTGCATTAATTTTTTGCTCTAATGCAACTGAACACTAGGGAGGCGCTCTTGAGTTGTACCCCTTTCTTCCAATTGGGATGGAAAATTCCCCCTAAAACTTGTCTTTATGTAATTTTTAGGCTTCATAAAGAAGGCAAAACTTGAATTTAATTTATGAAATTGAGATTTTGCTTTTATTTAGAAACCATTTTACCCATGTGGGGGGTTAATTTTTTTAAAAGATTAGTAATTAAGATGAGCTTAAAATTATCTAAGAATTATCCTTTTTTCAAAATGGCTTGATAAAACACCACTTCCTGTCCAGAGAGGAAGTTATTTTAGCTCAAAGACTGAAATATTTAGCAGATCTTTAGACAAAAGGAACAAATTACATTTCTCTCTGGCTTAAAAAGGGTGCTTGAGCCAGAGGGGGTTAAGAAACCCTCCCCCCTCCCCCTGATGGGGTGGTCTGGAGGGGCAGGGAGGTGTGGGGGTGGGGGTCCTTAGGCTCCCTGGGATGGAGGATCTTTTTTTTTCTTTTTTTTTTTTTGGTGGAGATGAAGGGGTGGGTCTATGGTACATCACCTGAGTTGTGGGGTAAATGTAGAGAGTGTCAATCAAAGGCAGAGCTCTCAGAGCTGGGAAGGAGGCTCTAGATGGCGGCTGTGCCTTAGAGAGAGCGCGCTCTGCTCCCTGCCTTCGCCTCACTTTACGCAACTTTCCCTAACTTTCGGGCAGCCTCAGGGGGCCCCCGGAGCCCCCTGCCTCTCTTAGTGACTTACTGGGGTCGATTCGAACCTTTTTTAGGGAGAAAAGCAGCTTTTAGGAGCTTTCTTTTCGTGCCTTGTTGGAAAGAAGCAGCCGTACTGAGAGCCCAGGTCGTTGTTTTTTCCAGCTTAGAAGCCATGGCGCACCTCCATTTTTGTGCGCTCTCCTAATGAGGTTTTTTTCTTCCGTACCCGTTTTAGTATTAATTGTCGCTTTATTTTTTTGACCAGTTAACATATTTGAGGATTATTTTATTTATTTTTCGTTTTTTAACGGAGAATTTCGTTTTTATTTTTAATTATTTGGGATCTGATATTTTTCTACTACTAGCTAGGACTCTTGCTTTGGACCTACTACATGGATCAGGTAAGTTCATAGTCATTAATGGTAATTTTAAAGATTTATATGTTAAAAGTTTGCTTTATTTTCTGTAAATATGAGAAATTCCTGGATGACGCAATAAGATACAGAGATTGTTATTTGTACCCAGTGTGTTACTTTGAGAAACTTTCCTTATTGATAGTGATTCCACTGTTCGGTTTATCCTGTTGTTTTTTTTTTTAAAGGAAAAAATAGAAATATTTTGTGTTTTGGTGCTTACCGCTGTTGTATTATAACAGTATCGTTACATGGTCAGGACTTTGTTCCTGATAATAAAAACCATCGATAGAAGCTGGGACCTTACCTTTCTTTCAACTTTTGACAGTAAATACCTGGGCACAGGACTTCAAAGCAAACACAGATTCCCCCTCCCCCTTAATATTTAAGAATTAAAAGATGATGAGAAATAAGGACAAAAGCCAAGAGGAGGACAGTTCGCCACACAGCAATGCATCGAGGTATGAGCTATCAACTTTCTTCCTTTTTTCTTTTTTTTGGGGGAAACCTCAGCTTACATTGTTTACCTTGACAGACTGGGTTAGCTGTCTGTGCTATTTTAAGTATTTTACTAATTTGGATTCGTTTTTTAAAGCGTGACCTTGAGATTGCTAATATGCCACACCCTAATTTTTTGGTAGCAATTTATGAAAGTTGAGTTGACTTAAGGCCTCTTACAGCAGTCTAAAGATAAGGTACCTTTATTCAAGGGGGACTTTTTTGTAAAGTACAGTTTTTCTGTCAACACATTTCAGTTTTTAGGTTTTTGTGCTGTAGAAAAATGACCTTGTCGGTTTAGCCACTGCATTGCACCATTTTACATACAAGGCAAATTTTTTCTTTGAAGAATCTAGGATACCCAAACTTGTAACTGAAGGCCATAGAGGAGCCTTGTGGTAGTAAATTATAGTAAATAGACATTTGAGAAAGTTATATGAATGAAAAAATGTACATTTTAAAATGAAACTGCAAAAAGGACCCTTTGACGGATGCCTCTCAGTTTATATTTTTATTTGATTCTGTATTTCTTTTGATACTCTTGACATTTTAGGAAATTTTGATATGATTTATCAAAACCTTTACTCGATGGTTACAGTTCCTGCATTTATGAAATTAAACCTGTGATCCCAGAAATCGTGGAGTACTCTTAATACACTTGTTTTGTGTTTGTTACCGTGATGACAATTGTATATTTTACATTTTAAATATTAAAAGGTTTACATTTGTATGCTTATATTCAGACAATGCTTTCTGGTTAGTAGACGTGTAGTGTGTCTTATCCTGGCACTTTAGTTGTAGCTGCTTTAAATTTATTGATTTATTTCGACAGTGTCTCCTGGAATGCTTTTATCTCCTGAAGCTTACAAATGCTCTGTTCAAATCATGATTTGTTTCACGTTTGTTGAAGTACCTTATTAGTGACTAAGTAATAAAGCCTGTGATGTTTTATTGTATGATCTGTATGTTAATTTTTAAAAGTACATATGAATGCATTTCTTGATGTGTTCTTATAAATTGTCATGTTATAAATTTTAAATCATGCAGTTAACAAGGATGTGATGATTGTATCATTTTTCTTCCCAATTTTGTTTTTATAATTTTTCATAAATATAATTTACTATTAGGTTAGTGAATATGAAAGTTTTTAATGTGGTTTATTACAGGTGTTGAATTTTGTTTCATTAGATTTTAAATATTTTGACCCCTGCTTTCAAAAATACCTTTCCACATTCTTTTGCAAATTAAGTTGTCACAGAGTTGGACTGCTTGTCTTTTGAACTGATATGCCTGGGTTAGATTTAGGATAGAAAACTTATAATCCTAAACTGATTTTTCTGAGAAGTACTAGCGATTTGAAGAATCAGGAATCCCCATGTAGTTTGACAAATTATTAAAGATTCAGTACCTAAAATTGTTACTCCCTTGAGTGTAAGATTTGCATAGTCTCAACAGGGGTTTTGGCTTTCTTATGCAAGGTTTGTGGTTAACATTGAACAAACTCTACTTTCTAATTTAAAAAAATCAAGCAGTGTTGTTGTTCCTTGTAATATACTCTCACCTGGAAAACTGCTTTGAAGTCATGATGCATTTGCCTACTGGCAGTGGGGTTACAGCTTAACAAGAAGCTTGCACTTTACTTTTTAAATGCATTGTATCAAGTATATTTTGATTCATGTAATTGATGAATGTCCAAAAATATTCTAGAGACTCCTTGAAGGAGACGATGGAGTTTGAAATTATTGTTACCCTAAATTGCATACCTTAACACACGTACATAAATATGACATCACTTCCTTTTAACATTGTAAAGCTAAAAGATATTAGTTGTGTTTTATTGTTGATTAACGTTTTTATTTTTAGTGAACTAAAACGAAGGAGACTTTCTGACTAGTACTTGGTTTCTTAATCCATCAGAATTTCTCCTTTAAGGACCTGTTTGAATGGCACAAAGTCTGGTGTTCAGGTAGTACTACAAAAATCACTTGCAGCCTGAGCCACAGGAGAGGAAGGGAGGAGTTTGCAGGTCAAGTAAATTTTCGTCTGAGCATTACTTTAGGATCTGAAAGGATTGAGTGCAAGTTGAGGTTAACCTGATATTTTCCTGTTACTGGAAGTAATGCAGTATTTCATAGTGATTATGTAAGTTTGTTATTCTTGTATTCTTTTGAGGTTAATATTTAAGTATAATGTTATACTTCGTATATGATTTTTGAATAGTAAGTTTATTTTCAAAAATAAGATTGAAAAAATATTTGGTGTCTGTGAATCTAAATATTTAAAACAAGGTTTTAGTGATGGACCTGTGTAGAAATATATACCATGCACTTATCTAAATAATTTACATTTTGGGGCAACTTCAGTAATATCAAAGAATGGAAACAGGATGGAAGGGAATCAGAATGGAACTGTGTGTACACAGAGTTCTGTGTGTTCTGGTACTCTGCCTTTACAATTTATCTTACCTGAAAGTTTATTAAATTTGTCTGCAAATCATCTGCCTTTGAACCAGGTTTATTTTGATAACCTGAGGTGCTGTGAAAATCATCTGCTTTTTAATCAGACTTGTAGCAGTTATTCCAAAAGCCTGGGGGTGTTTAGAAGTGGTTATAATGCAGTTGCTTGTGGACTGGAAAAGACAGTTTAAGTGGCAGCCATTTTATGACACTGGTTAATTTTTACGAATCGGGAGTTTTGAGAAGATGAAAATAAAGAAAATTGGAACCTGAAATACCAAAACCTGTTTTTCTCCCCCCTCCCTCTTTGAGTTCTCTGGTGCTAAAATAAAGGGCAGCTTGGTAGTTAGCCCTGGCAGCAGCTCTGTGAGCCCCTGGCATCTTGGTGCAGGTCCAGCTCAGTCACAAAATGGCTGTTCCTTTGTGCCGCAGCGCTGACAGACATACTGCATTGCACTGTGTACTCGCCAAACAGCAGGAAGTTGCCGTGCCGAGTTCAAAGGCCGGCCGGCGCAGGCGCCGAGAGCTGATTGGCTGTACGCGCGCCTGGTAACAGCGGGTCAACAGCGACGGCCTTCGGGCAGGCCCCGCCCCGTGACGTCAGGCGCCTCGTCGCCGAAACAGCGAACGCGGTGACGTTGGGCTGCGTGCGCAGCCCTGGTGCTTCCTCTTCGCCTGGCGAGCCATCCGGCTGCGGGGAGGGGAAAGGGAAGGGAGGGGACCTTTAGCTGGGACTTTCCGGTGGCGGCAGCTTCCCGGAACGATTTCTCTCCTGGCAGTCCGCTTCGCCTTTCCCTCTAGCGGCCCACACCCTTGGCACGTCTTTTAACCTTTCCTGGGAATGGTTTTCTTTTAGAAGCAGTTTTTACTTTTGGAAACCTTTAGGTAGAAAACCTGTCAGTTTTTACATTTTTTCTTTCCTGTGTCTTAGCGGGTCTTAGCGGGTGTTTTCCCCTCTTTTCTGTTCAATGTGAAGAGATTAGTGAGTTTTAATTTTGCTACCATTGACCAAAACCATTTCACTGTCAAGGAAACAATTTTATTTAAATTGAAACGTCTTAACAGGTGTTAGAGCTGTTGTTTAATACATGGCTCATAAACCAAGGGAAGATTATTTGAACTTGTCCCCGTGCATTTTTACTTTGTACCATACATTTTCTGAATTGGCATTTGATGGAGAAAAACTCAGGTCAGTATGTGCAAAATGATTTTTTTTAAGACTAATAACGTGATAGTTAAGTAGAAAATAGCGTAGAAATTTGTACTTGTTTAATAACTAAATATTAAGTTAATCTCAAAATAATAGAATACAGCATTAGGCACCCATAATTATGCAAACGAGTGTCCGAAAACGATTATTTTAAAGTGTTAATAGCATTCGCTACAGAAATTTGACTCCCAAAACTTAACCGCTAGTACAATCACTTGACAAAAGCTTGAGAAGCATCTCTGATCCCCTATTCTGGAAGTTTTCAGTCCTGTGGTGATGCTTATTGTCTGCCTTGTTTGGAAACCCTTGCAAGGACTTTTGGTTTAAAAATATAGTTTACCAACAATAACCTTATACAGTCATAAGTAATGAATTTAAACATGAAGGAAAGGCTATATTTGTGTTTTTCTAATGTACCCAACATGAAGTTTTTTTTTTCCTCCCTTATTGGAGTATTTTTAGCAGTAACAGGAGTGCAGTGGCATGTGATTGGACCGTAGTTTAGAATTTTTTTATTGAGTAAAATATGCTACTCCAAAAGAGATGTAGCCCATCTGAGTCTAGAGATGTTTACCTGAGCATATCTTAAAGTTTCTGAAGTTTATGAAAGGTAAAATTCACTGTAATAGTTGGTTTTGTAAATTTATACTTTTGCTGCTTTTGGAAGGATTCTCTGGATATTTTTTGGAAACCTTAGGTGAAACTGGGTTTTCAGTTTGTTTTACAGACTTGCTTATTAAGATTTTGTAAGTGATTTTCTTAATTATATGGTCAGGTAAATTATATAATGTTTAACAGCCTTAGAGAAAATACTTGTAGAACTTGATTATTAACTGGTGGTTCCAACTTCTTAAAGTGCTTTTCTGATTTTGAGATTAAATAGCTGTATTAAAAATTTTCGTATTTGCTAAATGCTCTTAAATTCCTAAAAGTGGGATAGACTTAAGGCATTGCAATTATGTTCTAGGATCTAAACTATTCTGAAGATGTTTTAACCTAAAATAGATGTCATTACTGTGTGAGTTAAAATGCATATTATAGCGATTCATGTATGAGCCAATTAACTTTTTGAAGAACAAGAGTATTAGGAAGATCTTCATTGAGCCTTTTCTGGGTTTTCCTCCCATGTGCAAAATGGAGTAGTGTTGCTATCTACTTTTTTTCTCTCTCTCTCTCTTTTCATTTCTGAAAATCTGCAGTTTCCAGTTGAAAGATTCAGTCATCACAGAAAGGTGGGCAAAGTATTTGATAAAAGGAATTTCAGTTGTAAAAGTTTTAGCTTGAGAGATGAATTGAAGTTTAGTTGAATTTTACCTGACAGTATTTGAAACTCACAGATTATAAGAATTAGTGCCCCCACCCAGACCATGTAACAGTGTTCTCACAATTGTGATAGATTACTACCTTAGGCCACCTGAGATTTCCAAACACTGATAATTTCTCCCATAAAATACAGTACAGTTTTTCCTGACAAAAATTGAGTGACTGCTCTGTATGACATCTAGTAAATCTTTTTTTTTTTTTTTTAAGGTCTTTTTTTTTTTCCTGAAAATCTTAGAATTCAGTTGTGTTTCTTGAAGGGGGGTCACTTTTGCAAAGAAGCAGTGTTTTTTAAATCACCTAAGTTACTCTGAATACAAATTATTGTATACAGATATTCTGCTGGGTGCTCGCTATTGTAGTTGAGTAATTCCCTCTTGCATTTCAGCCTGACCGAGCTTTGAAGTCAAATTTATACCTCAGCAAAACTGCCTATTACTACTTGCTTTGGAACTTTAGTGTTATTAGTGTAAAGCCAGAACAACAAAAGCTGACTCCTATCATCAGATGCCAGGGTCTGTTTAGCACAGTGTTGGAACACTTTGTTTATATGCTTTTCAGACCTTTCCCCCTCAATCTCTAAACATGAATGGATAGGGCAGGTAAAAAAGCTACTATACTATAGACCTTTGGGTGCAGTTTATGAGGTGGGGGACAGGCATTGTTTTGGGAAATAAATAATTGAGAACCGAGGTGAATGGAAGCCATCTGTACTACAGTTCAAAACAGTTCCAATTTAGCATTTTATCGTTAGCATGTTTGGTTAAGGCTCACCTTTTTTGGTATTTCATTAACATCATCTGGATTGTAATTCAAAAAGTATTTAAATTCCCTTTCCTGGAGAGTCCCACAGTTTGAGGACTGACTATAAGATCACCCTCATTTTCAGGGGTTGAATGTTGTAGAAGAGCTCAGGGTAAGGCATCACTCTAAGAACAGTCCTAATTTTGTACTTTGGATTCAGTTCTAAGGAGTTATTTTGTCATTTTTGTCTTTAACTGTTCCCTCAGTGCCTGTGTGTAATAGGTAGCAGCACAGTGTGCACTGTAGTACTGAAAACTTGTCCCCCAATTTGGGCCAGTGAAGCACACTCATTTTTGGACTTGGCAATTTTCTCGTTTTTAAAATGTGGACAATAATCTTCATTGGGTTATGCAGATTAAATAACACCATACCTATAAAGTGCTTAACAAAGATCCTGGTACCCTGAAAGTGCTCCGTACATGTAAACGATCCATGATATCACTCCCCATGCTTCATCTTACATTCCTAGCCTCCTGCACTAAGTGTCTCTGAAAGAGCCAGGTGGTCCCCGAGGGCTGTGGTTGGGATCCTGGTCTCCCACAGGTGTCTGCCTGGGTCAATTAGGAGAGCTTAAGAGCTTAAAATGATTTTAGGAGGCAGATCCCATTTAGTTAATTGAAACTTTGGATGGTTTTTTTTGCAGTCATCTTAGGATTTTTTTTTTTTCCCCCTGAGAAAGCCAGCCTTTTGAAGGTGTAGCATATGATTCTTTCTGGACTGGAACAGCCTCTTGTGTGAGTCATAGCCCTGCTCTTGGCAGTCACTCTGAGCAGACACCTCCCCCTCCGCCCCGCCCCTTCTGTAGCAAGTAATTATTGGCCTGGTTCACCCTCTGCCTCACTTCCTCAAGCTGTACGGGAGTGGATATAGTGACTGCCAGGGTGCAGTGTCGTGTGGATGTAAGTAAGAGCAGTAACATTTACCGCCAGTGTTTAATTGGCTGGGGCTGGCTTTCTGTAATCCTGCACCATAGCCTGTATATTTGATTTAGCATCATGCCTCCAGCCTAGTTCATTATGTTGGAGCTATGGTCTCAATATTTGTGTGTGTGTGTTTTTTTTTCTGCTTCCGTTTTTTTTTCATGGTTTATGAGTCAGTTGTGTTAAAACAAAAACAAACAAACAAAAAAAAACAGGCCCCAAACAGAGTCACTTATGTGAAAGCTCACATCGGCAACCTAAAACCTAATACCTAACCTAATTACAGTTTCAACTTTCCCTAGGAATGTGACTTTTTAACCAGCCAACCCTGGAATTTCCTGGTCAGCATTAGGAGGCAATCCGCTGATTGAACCCTCCAGTTCTCCTTAGAGTGACCTTGCCTGAAACAATGGGTTCCTTACTAATTTCCTTTTCCTGTCCCCCTTCTGCCTTTAAAAACCTTCCACTTTGTACAATCCTTTGAAGTTCTTCTGTACTTGCTAGCTGGGATGCTGTTCGAGTCACAAAGTGTTCAGTAAAGCCAATTAGATCTTTAAATTTTACTTGGTTGAATTTCTATTTAACAATTGAGATCTACTTTTTTGTTGTTCTTATGTGAGACCTTGAAGAGCTTCTAAAAATACCATGTCCAGCCTGATCCCTGGGATTGAGTTAAATTTTAGAAGTTCCCCATCATGTGTTTTAAATTTGCGTGTGTCTCCATGTGTTTCAAATCTGCTGATGGAGCACTTGTGTTTCTGTTCCTTTCTAACCCTTGGTCTTTCCATTACTTGTCTCGTTTTCTCCATTCCCTTTTTAGGGCAGTTTTAACAGCAGCTTTAGTTTGCAGGTCTGGAGGCACAGAGGGGTGGGGCGGGGTGGTGATAAGGCGAGTTGTATGCTTGATAAGAATTTCTGCATTGTGTCATGCCAGATCGAGCTGTGAGCATACCTTTAAAATGTGTATACTCTTGGAATGTTTTCACTTCAAGTTGCTTTAAATTCTAGTGCTATCTCTTCCATTTTAGATCACCTCCAAAAGCATGGATTCTAGAATTAACTTGGAATGCAGTCACTTAAGTCCATTAAGAACTCCCTCCAGCTGATAAAGGAACTGTAAAACCAGGGTCTGTATCAGTGGATGTCAGCTGCCCCGTGGAGCAGTTAGAGGGCTGTTGGTCACTGTTGGTGGATTGTGAGCTGTAACTAGCATAAAAGAAAAAAGAACATGAAGGTGAACCTTAGGGTACTGCATTTTGTGTAGGTTATTAAGTCCAGCAGTGCCTGTGATGTCGGTAATCTTTCATTTTAGATTTCGTCGTGAGAAACTAGCATGCGTTGAACAGTTTATAGAAAAATACCAGAGTAGTTTTCCATTTTGTTGAGTGCTGACTCTGTTTCAGGCACTGTTTCGAGGGTTTTTGAAATGTAGATTTTATTTAAAGTGAGGGTTAGTGTAGCCAAAATACTTAGTGACCTCCTTAGGGGTAACCTGGCTCTCCAAGTTACCTCTCACGGGACACTCTTCCTTCGCAGGTCTGTAGGTGGCCCTATGTCCCGCTGAGTCCTTTATCCCTCTGCCATTCTTCAGTTGTATGCTTAAAAGGATTTGTAGATTCTTCTCAAGTTTGTTTCTGCTGGTTGTGCTTGCAGTTTTGCATTTCAGTGATCAAACCAACAGGTGAAATGGGTGAGAGGTGTTGTAATTGAAACGAAGTTGATCGCTTTGGGAGGGTTCGATAACAGTTGTCATGTATAGTACCTGCTTCGAGCCTGGAACGTGCTCTGAGGCCTTGCTGTGTGGTAATTTGATGAATCCTCACGAGTGTCTGAGGTATGATTATCCTCCCTATATTGTAGGTGAGTAAACTGAGGCACAGGGTGGAATAAGTGGTGGAACTGGATTCAAACACAGGGATCACTTAAGCATTTTGG